TGCTCCACATGACTCCGGGGGGTTAAAAAGTCCTTCTGAAGTGAACTGATGCATTTGTGTAAGAAAAATATCCATATTTAAAACGGTTAGAATATGCTAGCCTCGTGAGAACCAAGTTTTGTTTACAGCAAAGGAAAACCAGTCTCCTCTTGGCTTATATCGAAATCCTTCAACATTTTTCTTTATAAATACTCTTTTTGTACTTCTAATTTGTGACCGGTGTTTTGTTTTGCTCACTCCTCTGTGCTTCCGCATTCATCACTTCTCACAGGAGCTTACGTTACGCCTACATCCTACACCATCAGCTGGATCGTCACTCTCTCGTGAACGCGTACGTCAGTTATCGGAAGCTAGAGATTACAATTTATAAAGTTTTAAATATGAATATTTTGTCGGCACCGATAGCTTTGTGGCAGTGCGCTGACATATAGCGCCGTTGCGCTTTGGCTTCCCGAAGTGCTTTCGTTGCCCGAGTTTGTGTCCCGGCTTGTGGACCTTTCCCGATCTCGCCCCGTCTCTCTCTCCCACTTCACTTTCTGTCAATTAACTTTCCTGTCTGAATAAAGGCTAAAAACGCCAAAAAGAATATATATACACACATATATATATATATATATATACATACATACATACATACTGTGCGATCTAATACTTGTTTAATATTAACCAAGCACCATTTCATTCAAATGTCCACTTTAGGGATGTCAACGATTCATCGATGTTCGATTAATTGTCGATAGGAGATGCAATCGATTAAAGCTATCGATGGTCGATTAAGTTGTTTAATTTTGGGCTGCGTGCGGCTCATGCGCAAAACACGTGCGAGCAGCTGTAACTAGCCTAGGGCACAGGTTTTCAAGCCCTGGGACAAAATGGGATGCTTTAAGGAAAATGTATAGCCTATGTAAGCAATAAGCCTAAATAAAAATAACAATTTGTTTTCATTAAAAAAAAGCAAAATATATCTGGCTTAAATAATTAAGATAACAGATTTAAAACAGAAGTGTGCGCGGCGCTCCATAAACAAGTTTTTTTTATGTTTCAGCTGTTCGATCGCGCAGGCACCTCGCACGCACACACCCCACGCGAATATGGAAACATTTGGATTTGTACCGAATGAGACGTGAGTAATAACCTCCAAATAAATCTAGCCAAACCCGCGCTCGCTCCGTCTCGTATGCACACATGCACTGTCACGATCTAATGCACTGTAAATGCCGGATTTTTAAAAACAATTTTAAAGCCATCGGCATATCGGCATATTTGTATGTATGGATTACTTGGATTGTTACCGACATCTGGTAACTATCAGATATATTTATAGATATATATAGATATATTTAGAAATATATTTACTGAGAAAAATGGTGGTGTTCAAAACTTATTTTACCCGCTATATATATATATATATACCTAGGATGGCTTAAAGGTAAATCATGGGGTCATTTTCATTTTTGGGTGAACTACCCCTTTAATACTAGGCTGTCATTACAAGGCATTTCTTAGCACAATGTCCAATATCAGTGAATAAAATTTTTTTATTTTATTTATGCATGAAATGAACATTTTTCTTATATATTGTGATGTGCAACTGAGTGAATTGGATTATCTAAAAAAGAAGAAAAAAAAACTAGAGCAGAGACTTGGTTCTATCCATCGGTTGTTGATTGGACACGGATTGTATACAGATCTGTAGGCAGATCTGAATGAGAGCTTGAAGTTGATTGTAAAAAAGGGTCTGGTTTTAAAAGGACTGACATACGTCGCCAGACAGAAGCCTGACCAAAATTACAAGGTCAAAAGTATTTAAAAATGAAACATGCAAACAATTCACAGCAAGATCAAAAACTTGAATTTAGAAAATAGATAGGGTGAACTCTCATTTAATGCTGACTTAAAATTAAAATAAAATTCATAAATGAACTTGCAACTATTTAATTCACATGTAAAGATCTTCATATCGAAGAAAACAAATTCATTATAGATCATGTGTAAAGTCAAGAATGATGCTTATATTAGATTCAGAGGTTTACAAATACAATGAGACACAGGGATGAAGGCAAATTCAGTCACATATAATGTCGGTTACACATTAAAGAAAATAAAAACTATTAATAATACGCAAATAATTAAAACAATTAATTGTAATCTAAATGTATGTTTCACACCGTCTAAACTGCAAGCAACAAAATGAACTAGGGATGTTCATTTCGGTTATTTTTCCTAACCGACAACCGACGCTCATTAACCGATTGTTAACCGTTAACCGACAAGATTATTTTAAATTAAAATTGAATTAAATTAGATAGGATAAGTGTCTGTGACCCGTTA